AGCCTGCTGTAACATTTGCTGAACTCCTTAACCACAAAAGGTCCTCAGAGGCAAACATCCTCATCCGCGTTTCTTCTCTAAGAACCAAGTTCCATAAAGCACTGGCTCCAACGACAGTATTTACAGAGCTCCTGGCCTGCGCCACGTAATGGGAACACGGTAGTAAACCACCTCTTAGCTAAGTTTAACACCTGGTAGTGCATTAAGAAAATCAGAAGCTCACTAAAACAGGTATATTTGCGTTAAGGCAATGGTTCCCCCATCTCCATGGAATCAGAAGAATCTGAAATTTTGTAGAAAGATAACAGATGTCAGACTCTATCCCAGACCTAGCAAGTCAGAGCTGTGGGGTCGTACTGGGGCACCTGTACCTTCCATGTGCTTCCCAACGTACTTCCAACACCCACCAAAGCCCAAGAAACACCGGCGTAGGACCCTGCAATAAGCTGGTGAAATCGCTGAGTGCAAAATCCAATCCTAGATCCAAACTGAAAACACCGTCAGACCTCTGTGTCTGACATCTGTGGATTCAAATGATAATTAGAAATATTCAGAAAGAAAAACTGTGATTATTATTTTCTAAATACGGTGTAATTAGGACTTACATTATATCGGGGTATTGTGAGCAGTCTAGAAATGATTTCAAGTGTTCAGGAGGATAAGCATTGGTTATTTTTTATAAGGGATTTGATCTTCTACAGAGTTTAGCATTTGAGGGCCAGTTGTGGAACCATTCCTTCAAAGACACAGTACTGATGCCATTACTGTATATTCAGATGGAACACTTCGTCGCTGAACTACTGTAATTAAACAGAAATGTTAATTCTACATTTTCATAAATGAACATCAGGTTTCTCCACACTGCTTCTGGTTTTTAAATATTTTTTCACTTTCCGCAATACAGAACACGCGCACTGTCCCTGCCCACACAGGAGCTGGCTGACTGCGAAGCCAAACTTGCTCAGTGCTCACGCGCAGCATCTAGCTCACGGCCAGCAAGCCTTTCAGAACAGGTAGCAGTGGGGCTTGGAAGAGGGTGAACCAAAAACAGCCACCTCAGCTTTTACCAGCTGTGGCTAGCAGGAATAACCCATGCAGCCAGCTCTTCCCATTTTTCCCAAGGAATTCATACAATATACAATCTTGCAGCTTTTAAATGGCTGGCAGCTAATTCACATGTTTTTAACAACATTTTAAAATGCACCATCGAGGCTAAACAGCAAAATTCAACAGCCCAGATTTCACCTGAAGGCTTCAAATTCTGTCAGCTCTGTGTTAGAAATACTGAGTTCGGCATGATTTCAATTAAACCTTCAAAACCCATTCACAGAAACAATGTCATCAGCTAGCATGTGACGTTGTGCTCTTCACCTCTAGACAGAATTCTCTGCCAGTTTTAAACTATAGCGTTCACCCGAGGAGCTGAATGGTTAAGTTCATTTGCTCACTCTAGGTATTTCTAGAGCTCCTGCCCTGTGGCAGGCAGTGGGAATACAGTAGTGAACCAAACCTTAGCTAAGGTAGTATTTGGCACAGCACATAAAAAAGATAGGAAGACTATTACTCAGTCACTGGTAAATATTAAACACACATGCGCAAAACTTACAGCAGCATAACACCACAGACTTCCCTTTTTGTAGATGAAGCTGAAGCTCAGAAAAACAAAGGCTGGCCACGCAGGCAGAGGAAGTGAAAACTACAGCTCAGGGCTCCTGCCTGTGGTGCATGACCTTCTTGTCCTTCCAGTGTGGCCCACATCCACGCAGACCAACACAGGAAGATCCACAGAGATTAGCAAGGTGAGGCCACGAGCAGGACCTCAGCTTGGCAAGCGCTCATATGGAGAGCAATGGTACACTTCTTCTAGAGATGGCTTAGAATTTCTTCTACATTCATGGACAGTATTACTTCCAGCTAGTCAGAAGCCACTGTTTTTTCCATTAGAACATATATAAACAGTGGAAAAGTGAAGTGTTGCTTATATGTACTAATAGTAGAAGGGAAAAAAAGGCCAAACGGGCAGCATTCGCAATAAAGGCAAATAAAGGATATCCATGTAAGGAAGAACAAGGACACTGAACAGGTCTCTGGATGTTTGCGTATGAGCAGGATCTACTGTCTTCACTAGGAAATCTTGCCTTTATTCTGGAACTTGTCCACACAGTGCAACCAAATGCAGAATCCACTGCAGGAAAGAAAGAAAGACTTCCCCCACTGAGGGATACAAAGTATTGTTGGTTCTCCAAATTGCATCTAGTGTTTATGACCTTACTTTTTTCTTTCAACCAAATGCAGAATCCACTGCAGGAAAGAAAGAAAGACTTCCCCTACTGAGGGATACAAAGTGTTGTTGGTTCTCCAAATTGCATCTAGTGTTTATGACCTTACTTTTTTCTTTCTTTTTTGAGACGGGTTTCAGTATGTAGTTCAGGCTGGTCTTGAACTCACTCTATGGCCTCAGCTGGCCTTAAGTTCTTGTTCATCCTCCTGCCTCAGCCTGCTGAGTGCTGAGATTACAGGCATGCACCACCATGCTCAGCAACAACTACTTTATTACCCTACAAAATGTAAGCCTATTTTTGAAAGCCAGATCATATCTAGCTCCAAAAGCAGGAGAAATAGTGCACCTTAACTGATGAATGACAAAATTGGTATGCGTATTTCAGAAGCCAATGACAAGCAGAGACTTTTTTTGGAAAGACAGGAGAGTGACAGTGAGGTGAGGGTGTGCTTGCCAGTGGGAGTTCTGCTATCAAAAATACAAAAGCCACTTGGATGGGTTAACTTCCAAATGAAATTTCCAGTGATTCCTGTTCTTTATATTTTTCTTCCCAAACAATAAGCAATGTTTAAAAGGAGAAGTTTAAGCATGTAACACAGTTTTAAATAATCAAAACCTCCTATGTTCCTCCACCTTCCACTCACCATGATGCTAAAGTTGGAGCTCCACTTTTATAAAATCTAGTGTGGAAGCAACTAAAACATAAAGTTTATCTTTTAATGTTTCTTCCCCATAACTAACACCATTTACTGCTACTTAAGGAGCTACATGATTCTTGCTCCATTATCAGTTATAGAAAAAGGTCATCCCTTTTAAACTTGGAAACTACAAAATTTTCTTTTAAATTCACCCAACTTTTGCATGCAGAGTAATTCTGATGGGAAGGACTCATGAAACATTTCATGTTTAAGAAGAGACATCCAGATGCTCATGAGGGGCGTCAGGAAGCCCCACACTCAATCCAGTGTTTGAAATCAGACTTCTACAGACATAATGTACAGACAGCATCGTTTAGATTACCAGAACAAATTTTACAGAGTGAAAAAAACAACACAAGGTAGAACTATGTTAAGAAGGGTTTATATTGTTCAGTATTAGCTTCGATGTCAATGTTCACAGTGATAAAACTTTATTAAATTTTTAACAATACAGACCAAGAATAAAAAGTACGCAGTATCTGAAAACCTAGAAAACACGACATGATTAGGAAAAATGGTATTTGACTATTTTCTCAATTTGCTTGAACATAATCACAGGGAAATACAACCTAGTTTTCTTTTCCTTTTTTGGTGGTCAAACTTTGTATCTTCTTCCTAGATCAAAAAGACTGCAGTGAATCAGAAATCATTACAGAAATGAAAAACCAGATATTTGAACGACAGAAGGCATTGTATAACTCTACCATCTCAGTAGAGTAGAACAAGAAAAAAAATTAAGTCAGAGGTTCCCAACTAGTATGGTTTGAATCATTCACAGGTATGCTCCCAATTTTTAACGTGTAAAAATTGGAAAAAAAACACTGCTCCAAACAAACGCTCACCAGTGACAGAGTCCATCTTTCCAAACTGCAGAAGACAACTTCTGTACTTTTTGTGGCCACAGCAGTGGTTCTGCCAAGAGCTACTGATCAGAAGTAATGTCCATGCCTGGAAAGAATTATGTAATTAACAGCTTTGCAGAGTCCTTTCCCTTTGACATGACTATCAGGAACGTTCAAGGGTGTCTGCCCACACGGGGATCCCCGCCAGCTGCACACTTACAAAACATGTGTGCCTGAGGAAAAAAAATCTACTATTTTAAAGCCGCTGTACTTGTGAGGGTTTCTGTCACAACTAACTCTCCTGAGTGAAGCAAAAAGTGCACAGCTACTTATGTGTCCAATGGGCTGTGGAGAGGCTCATCTGAACCGGGTAACACAACTGGAGTCCACTGGCTATGTGGAGGAGAAACTGTTATTATGTGAAACTGGTGCTGAGGAGGTCTCTACTTGTACTAAAATACCTGAGTATTTTTCCTTACATTAGAGGCAGCCCTTTGGTCAAAAAGGCTCTGCAATCTCATACGGGTACTTAGTGCTGAAGGCAACCAAGTTCAACATACCATGAATAATTTCAATGTTATCTTTTGTTCCTTTAAACAGGGCACCATAATGCTTCATATCTGAACATGTTTCTTTTTCATAAATATTACAAATCCCTTTTAAACCCTAGATCAGCACTGCTGTCTAAAGGGACAGCAGCTTCACTACCACTAGAGGGCGCCATCTATTTTGCTTTCTATCTACCACGGATCAGATAAAGGATGGTGAGAAGGGCCAAGCTACACCTGGGAAGAGATTCACTCCAATCTAGTGGCGGCTTTTCTAAACTCTGTATTATGCTAGTGCCAGACTAGCTGGACAGTCACTTGGGAAGGTATGAAATGTTCTCAGGCAGCCTCATCGAAGGGGGATTTAGGAGGTCTGACATGGGGACAACAAACGCATTAATTTTTTTTTTTTTACAAAGGCTTCCCAGATGCTTCTGGTACAGAGCTGAGTTTGCTACCACCTGTCTGGGAGATTTCAACCAATTAGTCCTCTTCCAAGAGTTCTTCCATCTGCAGGCAGCATCTGTGATGGAGATCAATCTATCTGGTCCAGCTAGATAAAACAGGACCTCCTGAGAAGAGAATTTCAAAACACTTCACAATAATTATAAATCACAGGGACAAAACATAGTTATCTTCAAATTTAAATTTATTAAGACATTCAGTTATGTCTGTCAGTCTACATCCAAATCTGCTACTAAAAATAAAAGTCACATCCCACATTAGGAATACCAAGTCTGAAAAACACTTTTTGAGCCAAGCCTATTGTATAAATAAATGACTAGTTTCTTTTCATATCAAAATTCCCATAAAAAAGTACATTCCCCCCTCCCCAGTTCTACCTGTAGCCATGATGAATGTAAAAATTTAAATATGACACATCCTTGTCAAAGAAAAGGTGCAAAATCTATTAACAGCTTTAAAAGTGGCATTTGCAGAGTGTGATCATACAGTTATGTACTCATTCCCAAAGTGCAAATATTGCCATAATTTAACACTGTTTTGATTCAGTTGCAAGAATTAAACATCACACAAGATTGAAAAGTACACTCAGGGCCTGTATCAGTGCCCTAAAGCCCCTCCCACTTTGGCCTCCTTCATTAAAGTGAATTCCAAAGTGCTCATGAGAGTTTTAGATTACTTCACACAGCCAGCAAAGTATACAACATATTAACAAAAGTTCCATATACATCAAAATAATGAAGACTCCGTCATAAAGTTCAAGAGTCTCAGTTAACATGAATGCACCCGCAAGGCCCAGCACCCACCCACCCTTTCCCTACAGCACATCTGAAATATAAACGTGCTTCCATCTTTGAATACAATCAGTACCTCTACATCTCTGGTTTCACTGCAGTGCTGTCAATAATCAACTGACTGAGTTCCAATTAGGTGATGGAAAAGGGGATGGGGAAAAGGCTGGTCGCTACTCATACTTTATAACAAGAATGATCCCGTCCCATAGAAAGGGAAACGCTGGTTCCACTTCTGCCCACTCCTTCCCATGCTGTCCTCATGTTCTTTGTTCTCTTTTCCTCAGCCCCTTTCAAACATTTTAATCTGACCTTACTTATCCCTCACAAATCAGGGGCCATTCCTGAAGTTGATGAGGTTGAATTTTCTTGGCAAATCTCTAGAAAACATCGGCATAGAGCATATAATTTTGATTAGCATACATTGCATCATTTCTCCCACCACGTCAAGGGATGAAAGCAGGCGGCTTCCACTGTGAGTGCTTCCTGGAATAGACCACTGGAACGTCAGTTTCCTACCTATTCATCCAATACACCCAACACCTCGAATCTGAGCACAAATTCCACCTTGAGCAAGCTTCTCCAGAATACCAGTGTCATTCCCGCTTCTCCTCTATGCGGATTCAACAGGACGTGCTTCCTCTTTCGTACTCTGAGGGTGCTCTCTGGGGCCAACAGCTCCTTCCTGGGTACCTGGTCTTCTGGTGATGTGCTCAGTACTGTCCTCAGAACCTTCCTGCATCCCAGTCCCTGGAGGATGCTCACGGTCTGGGGGTTCAGGACCTTCCGGAAGCATGTTTTGCTCAGCTCCCGCATGAGGCTGTGGAGCTGGGTCCGTCCCTAATCCTGTAAGCTGAGAGGAGTTTTTGAGGTGGCAATGGCACAGAGGGCAGGTCTCTTGCACATACAGCCATTTCTTAAGACAGCCTGCGTGGAAGAAATGACTGCACGGCGTGATCACAGCTGATTTCATATCCTAAAAGAGGGGCCAAAAACGTACCTCATAAATGTCTACCATATAAAATTTGTGTTGCTACCCCCAAAAGTTCTGGCTCCAACATTTTGTTATAACACAAATAGACTATTTGTAACACAAATTCAGCTTACTTCAGTAATAATGCTATCGCTACCAGAGACTCCTTATATGAATAACAAAAGAATCAATGGCTAAGTTATTTTTTTAAAAAGTAAGTACAAACTAAAAATAAGGAAGAAACTACCTCCTTAACTGGGTTTGGCTACATGTGAAATATAAGGTTTACACGACTGTAGCAGTACAATTACTTGAGCCATTGTATGCAAGAGTATAATTACAACCTTAGAAAATCTAAGAAGGCAGGACTTTTTCCACAGGTACACTTCAACACAGTTGAACTTATTATCCCATGATGAGATTATTTGCAAGGAGACAAAAATCAGCCACATAACACCAGGGTATTGGCAAGGAAGTGGCAATTTTATTAGAGCCAATGTGTATAACCCAGTTCTAAACATTTGATCTGTACAAACCAGTGTTTGCAAACATGCAAACACTGTTTCTCAACATGCATCAAAATTAGTTGTTATCAACACATATTCTTGGGCAACTCCAGACCTATGAAGTCAGGGGTTCTGAGCAGATGATTCATAAATCTGTACTTTTAATAAGCCACTCAGGTGACTTCCATGTGCACAGGTGTGATAGCCACCAGAATAAAAAGTGGCACATTTGTATTAATATTTCTTGTATAAGATATATATGGGGAAGGAAGTCTGAGGCCTTGAGGTTGAAATTTTAAGGATACACATTTGATGAATCCACCATTAATTCTGCTTAAAGTCCCAAAACAATGAGGTGTGAATTCCCAGAAATTCCTTGCCAAGAACTGGTAACTGGGAGTCAATTTAGAAGCAGAAAGCCATCCACAGGAAAGCAGCCCGCTAGGAAGCGAAGCAATTCTACTCTCATCTTCCAGGTACTTTCAGCAGGGAGTTCTAGCACCTCAAAAAAGTGATGTGACAAGAAATACAAACAGAGGACTCCTGAATCCCACAGTAGTATAGTCAGATGCTGGCTGCTAAAGCTGACATGCCCTGTGTCTGTCTTTGATGTGCTTCGTTCTGAGTACACAATGAGGCTGTATAGCCCAAAAGAGCCAGAGAACACTGTAATAATAAACAGAACTACAAGAAGGGCACCTAAACTAGGAAGTGGGAGTGGGGGGAAAGAGCTACCTTATTCTTCACTCCCCTTAAATGCAAAAATAAGCTGGCAAACACTGTTTTACTAGTATTCAAAAATATGTTTTAACCACAGTAAAAAAAAAAAAAAAGTTGTATTTGACTATGAGAAAGAATTCTTTTTCTTGATAGCTTTAACCACATACAAATACATACACCCCACCTAAACTGTAAAAGTAGTCCTGGAGAAAGATACTCCCTGTATATTCACTGACAACAGTTTCCCTCCACCAGCTCACTCCGTGAGAGTGATTTTAAATGGAATATGGTTTCTGCTGTTGCCATAGTTTTTGTCCACCCCAAACAGTGCAGTTCAGTAGTAAAAGCTGTTGCTTAGTCACCCTCTTGCATAGACGACTGCTAAACTCTGGTTTTATTTCCAAGATGATTTAAATATTATGTGTATATTGTAATAGAAGGCAATCATCAGCTCCATATGGTGCATGAGCCCAAGATGGCAGGCAGGCCAGCACCAAAGATCCACCAAAGGTGGCCTCAACACCTCTCCCCACCCCAAAACACAAATCCTTGCAACTGTGACCCCTAGCAACCCACAGGCAGGCACATTCTCTCTCCACCTGGGGCTGCACTCTTCCTCCCAGCGCCAGCAATACAAGAAAGAGTCAGAATCTTGGCACACCACTTTTCAGAAGCTGCTGACTTGTGATCGGTAGTATATATTTGATAGTACACATCTGTGTAAGTGTATGTGGGTATTCAGGAGTAAATACAAAATACACCTGACCTGTTTTTCCTTTATTTATGGGTGAGCAATAATGTTGAAAACAACAATAATTAGAACTCAATGGACTGAGGTAAAAATTAAACTTAGAACTAAAATGGAAATATTTTATCGGGTCTTTAATAATTTCCAAGACCCATTTTTACTTTTACCCAGGAATTAATTCTGCTGGAAACTTAAGTTGAATTTGGTTAATGTGGTTGCAATCCCAAGGGATATACCATGTGACCCACCCAAATGGATTATTACTGAAGAAGTTACCTGATAACAGATGGCACAGATATCATTGTGTTTCTCCAGTTGCTCTTTTGTAGCAATGGGTAATGATTTAATCTTATTCACAGCATCCCTGCGGAGAAGAAAGCTCTTCCATCCCAGCTGGGCCCGAAGCCACACATTGTAGTAGGAGTGGATGAAGATGATCATTGAGCCCATTACAGTCCATTCCCCAAAGATGGTCTCTGAGACACCATAGGCCACCACGCAGAGGGCCACGAGGAACTCCAGCAAGCGGTAAGTGCCATTCACATAGTAGATAACGTCATCCATGTTTTCTACTGGCTCTTTTCTGAATTCCTCAACCATAAATAAGACGTAAATAAAGAGTGTTCCCAGAACCTGAAAAAAAAACATATATATGTGTTAAAATAGAATATGAGAACTAAGAAACTTTTTCCACAAGCTTTAATCAGTAACACACCCCTGGTCCTTCTAAGATACCATACTTAAAATGTAAGGAGGAGCAACCAGGAAAAGATGAATAAATGTAACTGAAAGAAAAAGACACTGGTATAATTAAAATGTGAAAGACCTTAGTCAGTTTTCTCTGCTTCATTCAAACAGCACCAAATCTACCTTAATTCTCCTCATGCTGCTGTCTTTCCTATTCCTCAACTCTCAAAGAAACTTTACTTCTACGAAGAACAATGAATACGTTTTCAGCGGTAGTACTGTGGGGTCTTTGACTTCTTACTGACCAGGCAACAAAGACCACCTTTAAGTTATAGTAAGCCTGCTACATATCATGCAACTAACTATGGGTACTTTCAAGTAGGTGTTTAATCTTTAAAAAACTACAATTTCTTTACTAGGAGGCAAACTTTTAAAAATCAGTTATTACATAAAGTTATGTAATCCTGGGCATACCTGGAGAGAAGTGAGGATGCTACTGGAAATGATGATAAGCAGCCAGAAGTCCATATGGAAAAACTGGCAAATCATGTAGGCCATATACGCAGGGAATACCAGTAAAAACAAACAAAGGCTTACAGCTCGGAAGTGTTTCCATAAACTCCTGGAAAAGAAAAACATTCTTTCAGAATGCCCACCACTGGGTCAGACTGTTTACCAATGACTTCGATTTCTTTAGTGGTTAGAGAACAGTCTATGCTTTTAAGTTCTTGAGTCCCTTGTAGAAAATGACATTTTTCTAATTGATTTTACTTGTTTTAAGAAGTACTTCCATGTAGCTGCTAGTAGTATTTTCTTACCATAGGCAATGGTAGGGAAAACAGAACCTAAACAGTTGGTGTTTATTTGCTCTTACAAGCCCAAGGGCAGCCTCCATGAGGATTAACAGCACTTCAACCTCAGACCTTCACAGAGACTTCCTGGTTTGCTCCCTTTTCTATGTATTCCCTCTACATCTGATTATGGAAAAGGAAGCCAGAGTGAGGCCCATTCAGCATCCTGCAAAGAGCCAGAGCTGGATCTGCTGCTGCTTATGGTAGTGAAATTACGTAATTTTTTCTTTCACTTTTTCAAACTTCCTATAATATCCTATAGGTTTCATTAACGTATGCTAAATTGACAAGTATAATTAATAACATATTTCCAGAAACAACAAAATACTAACTGTACTTAGGTCAAGGCAAACCATTTTTCGGAACTATTAAATGGCTATTTACCTGAGTTCACCCTTGAATTTGATATCTAAAACACTTCTACAGAGAAATATTAAACCTCAGAAACAAACCCCAAATAACTATAATTAACTGTGATAATTAAGATTACCTGAAACATATCCAAGAGCTGAGTTTATTTAAGTGATTCTTTCAGCCACCCTACCATTTGAGAAAATCTTACAGAACGTAAAGCAATATGGATTACAGAGACACAAAGATAAATCTGATAAACTGTAATTAACATGTTACTCTGGAATGTTTGGAAATTTGCTCTCACAGTTCTACCTCCCAAGAGACTGCCTGCTCCAAGCAATAGTTCAGATGTATTTCTATCATCAATGTATTTCTATTGTCAAAATGTGGATAGAATACTGGAAAAAAAAAATATGCTTAATTTTAGGCAATTCTTTACATAATTTCCTTGCATAAAAGACAATAGTCCAAAATAGTACCTTTAAAGAACTAATTTTGTTTTTCATTCCTTAAGAAAATTTCTATAATACAAGATATACATGAATATATATTCATATATTGAATATTCATATATTGAACTATGAATCCCGTTACTAATTTCATTTGGTCTCAGAAGGTGTCAGGAAGTCCTATATACCTCAGTAAGTTTCAGCTCCCTGAAGACCATCAAATGAGGCTGTCATTTTATACACAGCCATCTTTATAACTGTACAGCAGCCTTTATTTTTCTCTTGTTCACTTGTATATTTCTCACTGCTTCTCCTTTAGCACTACACAAAATAAAATAACCTATTACTTGCTATGTCTATTGGACTAAATATATTCTATGCCTTTAATTTTGAAACTGGACATATATAAAATACTAATTTTTTCTGAAGAAAGACTTGCCTACATGTAACATAGTCACTGGTGTGACTTTTAACTATAAAAGTACTGAGGAAGAAACAGATTAGAAAAGTCAAATAACTCAAACATTTCACAACAGAAATATGACAAACTTGTTGAGTTAACCTAAAGTAACACCAACTGCCACTTATTTTCCATCTTAAAACATTCATTAAATCTTTAAATAACAAAAGCATGGGAAGAATATTACATAAATTAAATGAAGAACAACACAAAGCTTCTTACTTGTCTCTAGATGCTCCCAGCGCCAAAACAATGGGGTCTGCAATCTCCAGCATAGACTGCAGGATAGAGGCCACAACGATGAAAAGGATGATGCTGAGCAGGAAGGCCCGGTGCACAACCTGCAGTTCTATGAGGCCGGTCTGCACTGCCAGTATTAACAGTGTTACTCCTTCTGTCATGCCCCTAAAAATAGATAGAGAGTCTCAGAAGTAAAGCGAAAACCCACATCTCCTTTAATTGCAAGAAAAAATAATCTAGTCTTAGACAGTAGTTATATACTTTTGAATCAATTCTAATTCAGACTAAAAACTTGATCAATATGTAATTTCATGTCTTATAACAATGTGATATTATACAGTCATATACATCTCCACATGTGTAAAACTACTTGCTAATATTTCATCACACAATGAAGGAGAACACAACTTCGAAAGATAAATATTTTTCTAGCAAGACTATGTTAAAGAGCCAGGTACTTCTGCTATGCTTACATATCCATTGGATTATACTATCCTTTTATCATGAACTATATCCTAATTGTAAAAGATAAAATACAGGTGAATGTCTTCATAATCTTGGAGAGTTAAACATCTCTTTTTAAAAAAAAAAAAAAAAAGCCATAAGAACCAATAGCATAAAGAATTCAAAAAGAAAAACAGATCCTCCCCAAATTTAAAGACCCAATCCAAAAATGGGCATCTGAAATGAACAGACACTTCTCAGATTAAGTACAAACATCAAATAAATATATGAAAAAATGCTCAACATCAATGGTCATTTAGAAGGGCTATCATCAAGAAATCAACCAATAACAAAGGCTGGTGAGGCTGTGGGAGAAAAAGGAATCCTTTTCCTTTGCTGGTAGGAATGTAAAGTGGTACAACCACTATGGAAATCAGTATGGAGATTCCTCAAAAAACTAAAACTAGAGGTTCCACTTGATCCAGCTGTTCCCCTTCTAGGCATCTTCCCAAAAGAGCTAAAATCACCACACCACAGTGATATATATATACACACGTATACATGTGTACATATGTATATATGTATATGTGTGTGCATATATATAGATATATAGAAGAATAGATATATATATGGTTATAGGAGCCCTATTTATAATAGTTAAATCTTAGAAACAGCCTATATGCTCATGAAAAGATGAACGTGCAAAGAAAATGTCGTATTTATATATAATGGAGTACTACTCTGCCAAAAAGGAGGATAAATGTGAGTCATTTGTAGGAAAATGAATGCATCTCAAAACCATAACTTTAAGTGAAATAAATGAGACACACAAGTTTAAATGTCACAGTCTCTTGTGTCAGAAACCAAAAGGATAAATAAGGAGCACAACCAAAGGCTAGATACTGAAAAGTAGGAAGCACATGTTGACATGAGATGAACAAAGTGGGGGAGAGAAAAGGAAAAAAAGAATGGAAGGAAAAAAGCTTTTTAAGTGGATAGAAGAAGGGCTAAAAGGAGGGGAGGGGAACAGGAATCAAGATACATTATGCACAGGTACAAATTCCCTATGATGAATATGATCAATATGTATGACAAATATGTACTAATAAAAAAACCAAGTTAAAAAAGTAATTTAAAAGGCCAAAATTACATAAGGAAATTTGAGTAGTTATTTGATATCAAGAAATTCTTTTATTAGGAATGATCATTCTGTTGTATTTATGTTTTTCCAAAAGATTTAGTTCGAAATCTTTAAAATAAAATGGTTTCATATCTGGGATTATCTCCAAATAACTGCAGCCAGGGCACTGTCAGGATGGAGACAGGGTGAATGGAGCAGACAGGGGCACGACATGAAACTAGAATTGGATGATGAGGGGATTAATTTTACCGTGATCTCAGTTTTATTGGTTTGAAATTTCCCAACTGAAGGTTTTAAAAAAGAGACACAACGAGGATCTCACAGCAGCATTATTTTCTTTTTTTGTTGTTGTTTTTTTCCAGAACCAGGAATCAAACTCACAACCTCACGCTTGCCAGGCAGGCACTGTGCCGCTGAGCTAAATCCCCAGCCCCCAGCAGCATTATTTTCTAACAGCAAAGCAACAAAAACGAGATGCATCCATATTATGGAATTCTTTCATCAAAAGAATGAGATGTGGGGGCTGGGGATTTAGCTCAGCGGCAAAGCGCCTGCCTGGCA